TTCCTATTTTTCTCCTATTCTTTAAAACAAGGTTTCCTATTTTTCCTATTTTCTCAATCCTGAGTTTCCTATTTTCCTATTTTTTGGAGCAATTATGCCACTGGACACCCTGCAGTGGTCACATAACAGCACGTCACTTCACGCCATGTCCTTAGACAAGTAAAAAATAATTGTAGCTGTTCTACGGTGTAATCATTCAATAGAATAGAATAAATCCTAATTACTACATGCACCTCACAATATTAGACCATACAGACGGTGGTTACAAAAACCTTTGTTGGTAAGAACCTGGATTGTTTCAGTAAGTCTAACCTGGTCACAAAGACCTTGATTTCCAGGACGTGGTATCCATGCAAGTCTGTGATTGACCATCAAGCCTAGTAAGTGTGTTTTTGAGACCCATTTAAGATTAGAGCCTCCAAGAACACTGGAGCAAAAGGGCACATCAGATTTCTTGTGCTGAGCAGCAGTACTTCACTTCTGCCAGAATGGGGTGTCAGCTGGTTGTTTTGGCACCAAGTATATACTTCATGTAAAGCGTTATTCAACTGTGCAATTGCCAGGCAAGTCATTTGTAAATATGTTAAACAATGTCAGACACAATATGGAACCCCGAGGTATGCCTGTAGTCACCGGCAGCAGATCTGACCCAACCCCATTTAATTCTGTGAACTGTTGGCGTCTATTCAGATAGTTACTTAAGCAATCCAGTAGTGTATTCGTGATGCCAGTCTCTTCTCAGCTTCTTCAATAGAGTAGCATGGGTCCACTATTGAAAGTCTTCATAAAGTTGATAAATGCCGCTGCCACAACCTTTTACAGAGTCTAAAGATGTTCTCCGTAAGTAAGTATTCAGTTGAGTACCGTATTTATTCGATTAACCGCCCTGGGCGCTTATTAAATTTTTGGACCTTGAGAGTGGGCGCTTACTCGAGGTGGGCGCTTATTCGAGGCTGGGCGCTTATTAAATTTTCACCATTATCAGCAAGTGAAGTATGTTTATTTTGCAACAAAACAATCAATGCTAATAACAAAATGCGAAGAAGTAACAAAGCAAGGTTTCTGTAAAATACTCTGAAGAAAACTCCGTCCTCGGGGAAGTCTCTTATTGGAATTTATTCACTCAAGTGGGTGGGGTGGGGGTGAGCGCTTATTTGAGTTTGATTGGGAGGAGGAGGGGTGGGCGCTTATTCGAGGCTGGGCGCTTATTAACTTTTTCTGCCTTTAGGATGGGCGCTTATTCGAGGTGGGCGCTAATTCGAGGTTGGGCGCTTATTTGAATAAATACGGTAGCCACTGCGGCATGCCCACTGTCTTTTTGAGCCAGGTTGTTATCCTTACCAGAACATTATTGTCCTCTGATTCCAAGATTTTGCTCGGAGTACTAAGCAAGGATGTGTCTGTTGATCATCTTCTGCTCTTTTCTTTGTCTCACCAATCACTTCCATGGCTTTGTTTCGCATTTCTTCGGCGGAAGCTTTTTTTTTTAGCCGTTATATCGGAAACTTTCTCTGGTGGTTAAGTTCAAGTTCATTCATTCACACTCATTCAATTACAATACATCAAAAATAACAAAACAAAAGGAAGCAAAGACAGGGCTAATTATACATTGAATTAAACATAAAGGGAAAAGAGCAGCCAAGCTTTCAAGTTGGCTACAGCCACAGAGCAGTCACAAGTGGGTGGAGGTTATACTGTACTTTTAAAAAAACTAGTTATGGAGTTCTGGCTAAGTTAATCATATTGAAAAAGTTCTTTGTTTAACGGAGGGTTTTTTGCGTTACGAGTTTAGGGGGCTTATATTTGGAGGGGATTATACATGGAGAAGCTTATTTTCGCAATTTTACGGTATATGGTCAATGAGTGTTCTTGTGTGATCAGTAAGCCTCGTAGGTTTAGTAGTGATCGGCAAGATGTTACTGGCGTAAAGCACATCGAAGAACTCTTCAGTTTGAGTATGTTCATTGAATTTCAGGAAATTTATATTCATATCTCCAAAGATGTAAATTTCGTGTCTATTGGAATTAATGGTTTCGATTATATCATTTAGTTGGTTGCAAAACTGTTCTAAATTACAAGTGGATGCTTGTAGATGCAACATATTATGATCTTCTTTTTACCTTCGCCAGCATCAATTTCTGCCCAGCAGGATTCAACTAGTGCTATGTCAAATTTAATGTCAGGCTTAGGTGCAGCTTTAAGATTACTAGCTATATATAAAGCAGCTCCACCTGCGTTTGTTGGCTAGTCTGTGTGAAAAGAATTAAAGCCTTCTCTTTCTTGTTCTTCTTTTCTCTCTAGGTAATCCTGCATAATTAAATCCATCTCTGATTTCTCTGGCAAACTTCCAGAAGCATTTCACTCGATTGGGTCCTTTCTCTTAAGCCTTTCAATCATAATTAAATTAGTGTCATTTTGAGTGCGATTGCTTAAAAAATTCACTTAAAATTCCACAATTTGGAAGTAACCCTCTGCTATATATTGTTTTGAAGCTAATAAA